ATTCGTCTCTTCGTGGCCAGTCCAGACTGACCGACACAGGTTTTAAGCCTGTTTTTAAATAAGTGTTTTACAGTAACCAACTTGACAAAGAAAAACTGCAAGTTAAGACTCATCATTTTAAATAATGTAAGTTTTGTGTGTGGTTTAAGATTTGTTAAAGTGTTGACGTTTCAAATTACATTCACTTTCTTGCAGCGACAGACTCAGTGGTCTTGAGTCCAAGGCATGAGCAAATCTGAAACTGGTATAAAACACAGTAACCCACACAAAGGTGTACTGCCGGTTACTTCGCATTTTTGATCCACTGGGTTTGCTGCTTCCAAAAGGATTACCGCTTGAGATAACACAAAACATTGATCTGAATGACAGACCCCCAAAAGAAAAGATTCAAGATACTCTGTTCAACTTCTAAAGAATAAATAGAGGGGGAATCTTTGAGGCCGTCTATCTCTTTCTTCTTTCTATGAGTGTAAATTAATACAATATGTTTGTTAAATATTTAACATATAAAGATGTTATAATTAGGTCACCCATGATGACTGACAGCTTGATGTAAACATGCAGTCATGTAGTTAAAAATGTGTAACCATCGGGTGCATAACAAAACTGTTGTAGGACTAAACAGGGCATTTTGGGATTTGCTCCATTTGGATTTTCATCTGAATAATAGCGCCACTAGTCACTGTCTATTAATCTTGCAGAAAGCGTCTGGAAAGGGAAGGGGGACAAAAAAAGGGGGGGGGGGGGGATTTCAAAGAAATTGTAAACAACCTTGAACTTTTTGTCCCTTCAGCTTTCTTTGCTGGTTGGTAATAATGGAAATTTGGTTTGCGTGTCACAGAACAAAAGGTTTAAAGTCCAGCGGATCTACCTAATTGCACCTGGTGTTAAATCACATGGCCCAGTCTTCACAGCGAATGTCGTGCAACGCACGTATTCTGTAGCTCCAGCTCCGTGAAAATTGCCACCTTGAACCGAACGACGCAGACCCTGAAATGAACCCTAGGATTTCACAGTATGGGTATCCACATGTGCGTTTCGAGGCCTCAGCGTGGCAAACAAGTGTGGACCCACCACTTCCCCAACAAGCGTGTGGTAAGCGTCGACTAGCTGGGGGTATACTTTGAAATCGGAGTGCATCTGCCGGTGAGCTATGTGGTGAACCTTCAGCTAAATGGTGAACCTTCAGCTAAATGGTGAACCTTCAGCTAAATGGTGAACCTTCAGCTATATGGTGAACCTATAGCTATGTGGGGAATCTTCAGCTATATGGTGCCTTCAGCTATATGGTGCCTTCAGCTATATGGTGCCTTCAGCTATATGGTGCCTTCAGCTATATGATGCCTTCAGCTATATGGTGCCTTCAGCTATATGGTGCCTTCAGCTATAAGGTGCCTTCAGCTACATGGTGAACCTTCAGCTATATGGTGAACCTTCAGCTATATGGTGAACCTTCAGCTATATGGTGAACCTTCAGCTATATGGTGAACCTTCAGCTATATGGTGAACCTTCAGCTATATGGTGAACCTTCAGCTATATGGTGAACCTTCAGCTATATGGTGAACCTTCAGCTATATGGTGAACCTTCAGCTATATGGTGCCTTCAGCTATGTGGGGAATCTTCAGCTATGTGTCACCTGTAGGGGGAGGGGAGAACCCACAGCTATGTGAAAGGGGGGGGGGGGGAAGAACCTACAGCTATGTGGGGGGACCTACAGCTATATGTGGGGGGGGGGGGGGGGTGTGAAGAACCTACCGCTGTGTGTGTGGGGGGGGGGGGGTAGAGAACCTACAGCTGTGGGGGGGGGGGAAGAACCTACAGCTATGTGGAGGGGGGAGGAGAACCTACAGCTATACAGCTATGTGTGGGGGGGGAGAACATACAGCTGTGTTGGGGGGGGGGGGGAGAGAACCTACAGCTATGTGGGGGTGGGGGAGGGAACCTACAGCTATGGGGGGGGGGGAGAATCTACAGTTATGTGGGGGGGGGGGGGAGAGAACCTACAGCTATGTGGGGGGGGGGGACATACATCTGTATTGGGGGGGGAGAGAACCGACAGCTATATGGGGGGGGAAGAGAACCTACAGCTATTGGGGGGGAGGGGGGGAACCTACAGCTATATGGGGGTGGGGGAGGGAACCTACAGCTATGTGGGGGGGGGGGAGGGAACCTACAGCTATGTGGGAGAGGGAACCTACAGCTATGTGGGAGAGGGAACCTACAGCTATGTGGGAGAGGGAACCTACAGCTATGTGGGAGAGGGGAGGGAACCTACAGCTATGTGGGGGGGAGGGAACCTACAGCTATGTGGGGGGGAGGGGAACCTACAGCTATGTGGGGGGGAGGGAACCTACAGCTATGTGGGGGGGAGGGAACCTACAGCTATGTGGGGGTGGGGGGACCTACAGCTATGTGGGGGGGGGGACCTTCAGCTATGTGGGGGGGGGAACCTACAGCTATGTGGGGGGGGGGGGAACCTACAGCTATGTGGGGGGGGGGAACCTACAGCTATGTGGGGGAGGGGGAACCTAGAGCTATGTGGGTGCGGGGGGGGGAGGAGAACCTACAGCTATGTGGGAAGGGGGAGGAGAACCTACAGCTATGTGGGGGTGGGGAAGAACCTACAGCTATGTGAGGACGGGAGAACCGACAGCTATGTGGGGGGGGGGGGGGGGGAGAACCTACAACTATTTGGGGAGGTGGAGAGAGAATCTACAGCTATGTAGGGGGGAGAGAACATACAACTATGTGGAGGTGGAGGGAAGAACCTACAGCTATGTACGGGGGAGAGAACATACAACTATGTGGAGGTGGAGGGAAGAACCTACAGCCTACAGCTATGTTAGGGGGGGGGGGGTGGAGAACCTACAACCTACAGCTTTGTGGGGGAGGGGATGAGGGCTACAAATAGGGAAGCAGTGGGTCTGTTCTCCCCCCCCCCCCCAAACTGGTTGCCTAGAACCCACATTGGGAGACAGTAATTCACAGTTAAGACATTTGAACAATAATTTACCAAGATACAAAATGGTCAGAAATACAAAATATAGTATCATGGCTGGTCTAACAGGTTTGAAAAAGTAAAATCTCTGAATTTTTCATTTCTTGTAATCCAAGCTACTATGTAGCATTAGTAACCATGTCTGTGGATTGTCTCATGTACTTTCAATCATTCATGACTCTGATGTCCCTCCACGCAAAGATGCCAAACTGCTATGTTCTCATCTTGGTCTCCCTATGTCTCTTCCCCTCCATTTGTCTCCACATTATATAAAATATATATGACATAATTCGTTTTCCCCTTCTCAGGATGTAACCAAAGCATTTACATTGTTTTCCTGGTGTATGTAGCTGCTGTTTTTTTTCTTCTTGTTCAGACTTTAATTTAATTACCACAAAATGCGAGGAGCGACTGGCCAAAAAGCGCCCAGATTGGAGACCGGAGTTTGATTCTTTTGTAAGGTTGGATTTTTTTTTCTGTCGGGGCAAAAATACAATCCTATCCTGCACAGTCCATGGCGACAGCACTAGCCTTGTAACCCTAAATTCTCAAGCTCAGAGGCTCCCTCTCCAACCCCCTTCCCTCCACTTACCTACACTACAAAAGTGCTAACTACAGGCTGTAATGGTAGTTTGGCAGTTTAACCATAAAATGTGGCATATAAGTTCAGTTTGCAAACCTTAAAAAAATGATTCTGAACCAAGGGATAATAAACTTATACAGAGGTATAAAATACATTGGGTAGGTATAGTCTTACTAGCATTTTCAGCTAAACATCTTGAGGTTGGCTTGTGCACCACTTACAATGAAACTAACATATTATGGACTGACCAGAGCAATTCATTATTCTGCGCCTTAGAACAGGAAACAGTCAACTTTGCAGTCACATGTACACAGAATTTAAAATTGGTGAATCAGCCAATATGTGGATTGGCAGCTAAGACAACAGACCACATCTATCAAGACTGTTCCAGATACAGAAAATTAGGGCAAAAGTTCTGGCCAAGAGAAACACCGGTGCAGGCCAAACTTTACAGGTCACTGAGTGAATTACAAAAGACAGTGAAGTTCATACTATAGACAGTGTTGTAGATAAGATTTTTTGTTTCAAAGGAATGCAAGAAGAAGACTTAACAGTTTTAGATTTTAAAATATATGCTTCTTTATTAGGCTCTTGAAATATAGCTATAGCTAAGAGACGATGTTAACTTCTTAATAAATCTTCTGTTTTAATGGCACAATGTTAATATCTAAATACTCAGTGTACATTATCTATTGTAATCACAACCTCAAAGATGAGTTGAGTTGAGTCAAGAATTGACATCACAGCACTGAGGGCATTCCCATGTGTACTCCGTCCTCTACAACAGCCAGCGCAGAGTTCCAATATTGATGGTAAAGGTCACAATCTGGTAATATGTCCGTCTTGCCTTTCCTCTGAGTGTAGTGAGCCGGCCAGACCCTCTGGTTACACCCAGGTGCCTGATTCTCTCCAGGCCCTAATCTTGTTTCTCTACTAATTCCGTTGGTTGTTCCTAAAGGGCCTTGACCACATCTGCCTTGTCATGTATCAATTCACCGGATGCAGCCAATCTGTCTGCCTGTTCATTACTCACTATGCCTGGCATAGCCTGGAGAAAAGATCCAAAGTATGCTCGTTATCCGTGACCTTCCCAGTGAAGCTTGCCAATCTGCTCGAAGCATCCCTGTCTTCACCTTTTTCAGCGTGCTTTCAGAGTCTGTTACAATTACAACGTGTGTATGCATCTTGTTTTCTAGCCATGGAAAGCTGCAGTTAGCCCTCCACCGGAATTCTTATGCTAGATGTTATGTCGAATGCTAGGCTGTCTTGCACTGAATATTTTCCATTAGCTTTCATTACGAACAGCCCAAAAGATGTGAACAGGATAAATGTGCACAAATGTCCTAAAGAAATGAGTATCTAGTTATAAGATGGCTGAGCAGAATTTTTCTATGAAAATTACTAATTTTTTTTTCAGTTTCAGAAAAACCAGTCAGCAACATGTTCGACCTCTCCCCAGAGCCTGTCCCCACATTTACCAGAGAAGTGGAGCACTGGGCCAACACCTACATTCAAAAGTTCTATAACTATCCGCCTAGGCCATCCTTGAACCCTCATGAGGCTATTTTCATGCTCAGAGCATTTAGCAGCTCTTCTGATAAGACAGAAAGGGTCAGTTTTGACTTATTTGTTTTAAATTTTGAATTTTGAATAAAACAGGAGAATAACTGTGTAGGCTGTAATCTATAAATAAATAAACAGGTTGTAATCTAGACATTTTCATTCAGAAGTCACAGTTAACCTCAGTTATCTGGATCTACACACATAGGTATGCAGGCATGCAAAGGGCTGTATATGCCAGTGGAAAGTCGTGGTTGTTCATCAACTTCTAGACTTCAGAAATTTTTCCAGGACTTGAGTTCTGCATGCACATCCATTTGGAAGATCTGACTCATTTGTGTGCAGACTATTGGTTTATTGCCTTTCAAGAAGGTGCAGACTGGGAAGGGAATGTTAATCCTATCTAAGTTGGCCAGATCCCAGGTTGGGAGCCTGTGCCAGGATGACATGAGAGAGATGTAATGTTTTGATCAATGTGAGCCCCGTGTCCTGATGTGCCACCACGTTTGGTTCAGCACCTCTTTATATCACCAGTCAACAAAGATGGCTGAGGTTCTTCTGTAAGATTTAGTCAAAATGAACATCTTCTTCCACTGTTTACCTCATTAGTGTGTGTGTGAGGGGAGGGGGGTGGAGGTGATGTAAGGATCGTTAGTGCCCTTTTTGGATTGCATTGTGTAAAACTAAAGGACATTTTACCATGCCTTTAAGCATAATAGGCATATAGGGCTAGACCTATCAGCACTCGGCGAGGTAATGGTCAACAACACACCGGCCATCTTTACTTCCAAGGACTTCCCCTGGTACCCATTGAAGGTTGGCTCGACCTGGAGCCAAGGCCATTTGTGAAAAAAACAGTCTGATTCCATCAGAACCTAAAACTATCACTTTTACATCCGCAGACGAGCATCTAACTGCTCTACCATGGTGGCTCCCTCTGTAAGAAGAATGGAAGTGAAAAAGTCAGGAGAATGGGGTGAGCCACTTATGATTGCAAAAGATAGCATGACTAGGCATGAGTAGGTTGAGGGCCTGTGCTTCATCTCTTTCAGTCCCAGAAAGACCATAGTGATGCCTGCTTGAAGCATTAATGATTACGAAGGCAGAGGCGTACTGCATCCACAGGGTCAAAAATACACAACGCATTGTGGGTGGCTTGTGTTGCAGGATTGATTTAGTTTGCCTGACTAAACTTGCTGCCTAGCGCTGGATTGAGAATCAGCTGAATATACACATGGTGTGATTGTTAGTGAATCAGAGTATGTTGAGAAAGGTGGAGACAATCGACAAGCTTGCTTTGTGCAGGTATAGTTAGCATCCTTTGGATATTTTCTCTAGATGAATCCACTGTGTTGGGAAATGAGCAGGCAGATAGACTGACTGGTTCTGCCCCACTTGGTTGTGAATTGATGTATGATAAGCTAGATGTTGTGAGGGCCCTTTGGAAGTAAATAAACAGTGTGGAATCACAGATAGATCATTACGGTCTGAGGAGAATGGCGCTGTGAAAAGTTACAGGGTGATTTGGCCGATGTTCAACACAAGGAAAAGGTGAGACAGATATACAATCAGATAGTTACTGGTGCGATCAGAACTGGAACTCTTTACCTACTGCTGAAGATGGGGATGGATCATTTATGGCAGTGTCCTGAGCGCTATGATGTCGATTTTTAATTTAACATAGGGCTAGACCTATATTTTTATAGACCAATTGGTACAAGACGGGTGATGTAGTCAGCATCACACCGGCCACCTTTACTTCCCGGGACTGCACCCAGTACCCACTCAAGGCTGGGTCGACCTGGGAGTCGAGGCCATTTCTGAAAAAGTCTTTCTCGTGTTAAACTGGTGCACATGAGTAATTTTTACAACACATTGTGCCTTTTTTCGGCACTGAGAAAGTTATACAAAAAGACAGTAATTAATTTTATGACCACTGGATCTTGTTTTTTTGCATCTGATTGTTATCTATGTTTCACAGGATATACTTGAATGTATCTTGCACAAACTTCTTGAGAGCTACAGGTTCTTCCCCGAGTACAGAGACAGAAATTTATGCATTGCAGCTCAGATCTTTGGTGGAATGGTTGAACATCATATTATCACGTGGGTAATTTGTGTGTAGGAGTAGTAATTTAAATAATATATATTCAACCCATCCAGGTTATAATTGGGATATAGGTTTTTTTTTCTTTCTATTTCAGTAATGGATATTTATGTCTACCAGTTATGTTTGCTTACTCAGGATTGCATAGCTTATGGATTAGTTTTAAAGACTGTGGTATAGATTGTTACATTCATTATATTTGAAATGTTCTTTTAATAATAGTAATTATATGGTGTAGTCTATCTTCACAGATGATCTTCACAGATGTTAAAGGTGATCTGGAGTACCATTATTCGGTTCTAAGATTTATAAACATGTGTAATCTTACTGTGTGATCTGTGTGAATATAATTTATAGTTCAGTTTATACAAGGGTTATCAATTTATTTTTTCTGTTTCTTTTTCTCAAATTCTATCTTCCCTAGGTGCATTTTTCTACCCTCTTTTCTGAAATCCTTCTTTTCGCTACTCTCTTTTACTAGCTACAGGGCTGTCTGTGTCTTAGTGTTTTAAAGAAGCATGAGCACAAGCCTGCGTGCATGTATACAATTTATATGTGTGTATAAACATAGAGACCACACCACAAATAACAAGGTTTGCTGTATACTGAACATAACATTGTCAACTATGAACCTCTTTTAACTGCAGTGAAAATATGGAAAATGCAATGGTATGAACATGTATCTAATGGCCTCTCAAAAACAATAATACAAGGCTCAGAGGAGAAGAGGCAGATCAAGTTTTTTTTCTGGATATAGACATTGACTGGACAGGCCTTAGGCATGCAGCCATAAAGTCCATTGCCTCTGACCGTCATGATGGAACTGATCATTCAACAGCAACTGGTGACCCAGCAGCACCTAGTGTTACATTCATCATATTTGAACTGGTTCCCAGCGGCACCTAGTGTTATTTGGTGTAATCTATCTTCACAGGTGACCCAGCAGCACCTAGTGTTACAGGACCATCCAACAGCAACTGGTGACCCAGCAGCACCTAGTGTTACAGGACCATCCAACAGCAACTGGTGACCCAGCGGCATAGTTCAGTTTACAAGGATGATATATTATATATTTTATATATATATTTTCTATATATTATATATATATATATATATATTTATATATATTTCTGAAATCCTTATTTATATACTCTATATACTTTATACAGGGCTTTCATTGTATTTGTGTAAAGCATGTTTTTTACACATCTATGTTTGTATATACATGGTAACTTAGTTGTACATAAATAGGTATATATAAGTGTGGATGTATGTACCTAGTGAGTAGAAATATGTGTGTGTGTATATTTTTGCCACATATGTGTACTCTACTTTTTCAGAATATGAGACACAGTACAACATACATGTACACATATACAGCACACACGCGCGCGCACACGCACACTCACACACCAACCAAATCAAACCAAACCAAACAAAACCAATAATTTGAACTGAAGTTTAGATCTGATGAATACAAAGAAGTCTTTATAAAGGCTTTCTCTATTTAGTCTTTGTAACTTTTCTGAATGCCTAATAATTAATTTGTTTGATATTTCTAGTCATAAGAAACTTGACATAGTACTGCAGCAAATTTTACAATCACTAAACCAGCATATTAACAGCAACATGTTCTGGTTTGGGGTGACTGTTCTGAATGGATTCAAAACCAAGTAGGTTGTTTTAAAAGTCTTTATTGTTTTTTTGCTCTTAATTCTTTTTTTCCAAATATCTTTATTTGAAATTTATGATTTACCTTTTATACATCCTCAGAATTCTAACATTTTTTACCATTACTTTTTGAAGAAGCAAAATTTTTAAAACCAAATTTACTACCAGTAAATCACATAAGGTAGACACTGTAGCATAGCAGCTAGATTCTCACCTGCGGTCCTGAAGGTTTAGGATTCAAATCCCTGTAATGTCAGATTTTTCATTTCAAAACTGACTCCCAAGCTGATCCAGTCTATAATTGGTACTAGGTAATGTTATGAAAAGTAAAGGTAGCTGGTGGGATGTTAACCTATTGAGTGCCATTTGGTCTATAAAATAAATGTCTATCACTGTATGCTCGATGCACCCCTGACATAGTAAGGGCTCTTTACTTTGCTTTGGACAATTTGGAGAATTTCAGTACAATGCATGAAATTAAGCTCCACTACAACCCAAATGTGTCTGCTAGAACCCTTCATATATATATATATATATATACTGTCTAAAGTTTCTTGGTTTGTGGCTTGAAGTAGTTTAGTGTTTGAGATTGTATCTGGCCAGAAAATTTTGATAATTCTACGTAGACATGTGTGGTGGAAGGTGGACAGCTTATGTGCATCCTTTTTGGTCATTCTCCAACATACCGCTCGATAAAGAAGAACTGGCAAAATGATCTTGTAGATATCACAAATAATAAATATATATATATATATATATTAGAGCTGTACCTAACATTCACTTCGGGTCTGAATACTGTAACTAGCTATTCAGTATTCGGCCGAATATTTGCAGTCGGCCTGAATACGAATAGTAGTTACCTTACACCCGCTTCTGCATATGCTGCCTTAATGCTGACAATATGGAACTATTGGTTTTGTTAAAAGCTAATGCTGCTTTCATGCATTAACTAAGCTGTCAGTGACAGTTTAAGGGTTTAGTTACTTGTTATATAATACTTAGAATACTTTCATTTCTAGTTATTATTTACCACAGACTGACTAGTTAGTTAGGATGCCAAAGAAACAGAGGTCAAAGCTTTGTCTGTTTTTGCCAATGATTTACTTGAGTCTGAGACTATGGTTGAGCTTTTGTGAAGTTCTAAAAGTTTCTTTTGGTCAGCGTACCTCTTGACATTCTTGGTGAATGTATTTTTTTACACCGATGTAATTATTTTATACACTAAAGGATGCAAAACATAAAATGTTTTTAAATGTTTACCCACCTTTTGCGAAGCCATTTGACATTCTAGATTTTATACACTACATATTTGTATTCCCATTCGGCCAAATAGATGGTCCCATTATTCATATTCGGCCGAATAGTGATAGTCACCTATTTCGTACAGCTCTAATGTGTATATTATATATATATATATATATATGTTTTTACAGCTAGGCTTGTCATTTTTGGTTCTTGAACCAGGGAGAAACTTATCATGACCCTGATTCTTGTCTCCAAATACTGAGAAATATGAAATCTTTTTTGTAACCTGCAGCACGTGCATCTTTTTTTTTTATTCACTTGACATGAATGATACGAGTTACAGGTTGATTCTTGGGAATAGGATCAGTGGATTTCATTTCTTGAAGGAAGAAAATGAATAATAGGGAAAAAGAAGAGACTTGCCAACAGGTTAGAAACTGAGCTGATCTTATTAAGGAAATATGTCAGATACACATGGAAGTGGCAACAGTTGTCCTGAAATCTTATGCGCTTATTGGGGAAAAGTCTTACTGCAAGCCGGTCCTGCTAGACACTCGCTATCACCATGGTCTGTGATACCCATACATACCTGTAGTATAGCATAACACTGTTGGAAAGATGTAAGTGCCCAACAACAAAGAGACTGTTTACTGGTCATGTAATAAAGGAAGAATTGGAGAATATCATGACTGAAAAGATCAGGGAAAGAGGCACACCCAAAAGTGATGCTGGATTGACCAAGATCATAGCCAGAAAATAAACACTGTAGATCCATATTACCAAAGAAGATCTGTGCAGTCATGAATATCAAACCTGTTAAACTGGTAGAACTCCTGATCACCTCAAATCTTTTGCTCTCTCTGTTTATCCAGGATTAAAGAATATCCAGAGTTTTGCAGACAAATGATAAGGATACCTCACTTCTTTCGGCTGCCAGCTCACCTAATTGAGGTAAGGGTCGTGCCATTTAGGTGCCAAAAGTTGTTGCTTTTTGACTTGTAGGTGATAATAAGGAAACAAATTTTAGAATTGCTCAAAAATGTGAATCTTCAGCATTTTGAGCCTGTCAGGTTCATTGTCGTCAATATCAACCATTTTGACTCAACTCTGTGACTTGCTTTCTCTTTTCTTTTTCTTTAGTGACTCCAAGTGTTTGTAATTTGTCTGAATATTCTCTCTCCACACTCTTCTTGGTCTGCCTCCTGGCCTACTCCCATTCACTTCTTTTACGGTTTCAGTTTCTGTCTGTTATCTGCCATTCTCTATATGCTCCAACTATGTGTACTTTCGTATTCAAGGAGTAACTTATATCCTGTGCCCATCTTCGTGTTAGTCAGTCCCTACCCCTCCTTCCTGGTAGCATGCCTTCTGTCATTACATTTTCCAGTCCCCCATGGTGCTTGATATGACCAAAATATTTCAGCTTCCAAGACAAGATGGTGTTATTCTTCACAAAATCTTTAAAATAGCATTATCTGGAAGAAAATAAACAAAATTTGATTTCTAAGAGTTTTATCATTTGTGATATCTACAAGAAGGCTGAAAATACAGGATGCCTGCTCCGGCCTGCATCTCACCATGCCAACATGGTTTATTGACCATCTGTAGTTATATTATTAACTCTCTGAGTCCCAAAGAACGCAGCATACATTCACAGGTTCCTACCTAGAAGCACAATTTACGCATGGTGCGCTGATTGTATGTCTCTATTTACTATCACTTGGGCCTGTGATGCTAAACCCACTGGGACTCAAAGAGTTAAGGGTCATCATCTTCCTGTAACACTGCCTGTTATTGGGACAAAGGTTTCAATTGACTGTCTGATCAGCTCCCTCCAGCTATGATGGTCAGATGCAGTGGGATTCATGGTTGCATACCTAAGGCCTTTCCAGGCAAGTTCTGTATCCAGTTCTTGTTTGGTCTGCCTCCTCTCTTCTCTTCTAGTGAGCCCTGTAATGTTTTTGAGAGAATGTTAGATCATATTACATGTCCATACCATTGCATTTTCCTTTTGTTTTCACTGTTTTCTTCTTCTTGTGTTCGCTTTCTGATTTACACCGACAAACAGGTTCTTGTGATAAACTTGACTGTTTTTATAAGTTCATTTTTAGTCCCATACAACTTTGTATACAGTGATGACTCACTGGGCCAGTATTCCTTTCTTAATGGGCTGAACAAGGGACAGTCTTGCAGGACATGTTCTGTAGTCTGCATACATAGCCCACAAGGGCAAAAAGGTGAACTACTTAGACGAAGCCTGTGCATATGCTGTTAAGTTTATGTCCTGTCCTGAGACGTAGGACAATGACCTGCCCATGCCGGTCAAGTAGGTGGTAGTCATCTTTGGCCAGACTCTGTTCATTTCTAATAGCCTGGATGGCCCTTTTCTTCTCATAGTATGTTACTGCATTCTCTTCCTGGTCACATTCTGCCCCTTTTTTAGCAAGTTTATCTGCGGTTTAGTTTCCTGAGATTTTCCTCTGTATTTGAGAGGTTAATGGTTGCCAGTGTGCTGGGTAATTCAGTGAACTTCGTCTTTCATAAGAGTTTTTTCCTGTGTGGGTTCCTACTATGGGAAAAACAAAAATAGACCCACTGCCTACCCAAAAGCATGTCGTAAGAGTCGACTAATTGGGAGCTTCCTTCCAAGTCGCAGTGCATCTGCCTGAGAGGCAAGGAACCAAGTCTGCATACAACTGTCAAACGGATGCACACGCAAGACTCAGGTTGTGGAACAGGACTGCAGTCCAGAAGTGGACAAACAACCAGAACTTTCTGCCGGAGTTTACAGCTGGTGAATGAGAAAAAGAAGATAGGAATTTTAAACCTTTTTTTTCCCTTATTTTTCACAGAAAAGAGTTGTAATATTTTTTTGACATTTTTAGTAACCAAAAAGTAAAGGACCCTTTTCCACACCTTCAGGCATATTAGGCATATAGGGCTAGACCTATATTTTATAGACTAAGCGGTACTAGGTGGGTGATCTGGTCAGCATCATGCCAGCGACCTTTACTTCCCAGAACTGTAACTGGTACTGATGCAAGGCTTGGCCGACCTGAGAGCCAAGGTCATTTTTGAAAAAGTCCATCAGTAACTACATCCAGATTGAAACTTGGCAGGAATTAGGGGGTGATGATGAATTTGATACCATCCTGGTAGGCAGACAGCATGCCATCGATAATCTGAGGTCTCTAAATACTGAGGTGGGTGTGGTTAAGGCTTGGCAGCTGAATATGTACCATTAACATTGGCATCACAGAGTAGGGTATTCACTTACCTTGGCAACCTGAAAAAAATTGCCAAACGTTGAGATGTTCAGTCATGTGGATGTGGAAAGCAAGGGGAAACTTACACATTACATATCCCTAAAAGCTCTGAACCTACGGAAAGCTTCTTAGAATACTGTGGACCAAGAAGAAAGAAGACAAACACCAACATCCTGCATGACCTGAACATCAAGGAAAACTGACTGGTAAACAGCATCCTCTCCAGAAAACAGGTATTTTTGACGTGTCAAGCATCATTGCGGTCTATATAAAATGGTGACGGAGGGTGCACTTTCTGGAAAATTTTGTAGAGGCCGAACTCTACGAGGGTGGCTACAGGACACTGAAGATGTGTTGGCTATGATATCACACAGGGTTGCAGAAATGGCTAGAGAAAGACTTTCAGGTGTGCCATGAAGAAAGCAACATTCTGTGAAGGACCTGCTTACTGATGATGATGATCATCATTGAGTTTTGCTGTGACTAATTTCCGAATATGGATTCTGGAAAAAAAGTTCAGGAGTTTATTATAAATTAGACTTGATGGATTAAAGATTACTTTAACAACTCTTAATCTGTTGCTGGTATTATGAAACAAAGATGGTGATAATATACTTGCTACATGATGCATTCACATGTCGTAATTGTAACTGACTCTAAAAGCATGCTGAAAAAGGTGAAGACAGGGATGCTTCGAGCAGAGTGGCTAGTTTCACTGGAAGTGTCACGGGTGGTGAGCATACTTTAGATCTTTTCTCTAGACCATCCCAGAATGGTGGGTAATGAACAGGATTGGCTGGATCTGCACCACTGGGTGGTGAATTGATACATGACAAGGCAGATGTAGTCAAGGCCCTTTGGGAACAAGCAACAGAATCAGTAAAGAAAGATTATTATTATGGCCTGAGAATGAGGCATCTGGGTGTAACCAGAAAGTCTGGTCGGCTCAATACACTGAGGAAAGGCAAGACAGACATAACAAGATCCATCATTTTTGGAAAGGCAAGACAGACTTTTAACCATTTTGTGACTGATACCACGGTACTGGAACTCTGCGCTGGCTGCTGAAGATGAGGATGGAGCATTCATTGGAATGCCCCCAGTGCTTGACTCATCTCATCTCTGGCCCCTTGAGTGGACAAAGAATCTACTAAATAAGCACTGCAATGTGAAACTAGTGGACTAAGGGAGACAAGGAAATCAAGATAAATCCTTAAGTGAAGCCAAAGGTATCATATAGGATTCAATCCGGATCTCAGATTGGACTAGATAGCATGGAGTGGAAAAAGCTGTGTGCCTTGTTGAAGAAGAATCGATGTCACAGTACTCGGGACACTCCCATGAGCACTCTGTCCTCATCTTCAGCAGCAACCCGAGAGTTACAATTCTAATGGCAACAGTAACTGTTTGATTGTTTATCCGTCTCGCCCTTCCCTTGAGTGTTGAGCATCGGCCAGATCCCCTGGTAACTCCCTGCAACGCCATTCTTCTTAGACCTTAACGTTTTATTTTTCATCCGCACTGTTTACTCGCTTCCAAAGGGCCCTCACAGGATTTAGCTTTTTATACATCAATTCACCAAGTGTTGCACAGTTGACCAGTCTAACTGCCTGCTCATTTCCCAACACACTGACATGACCCTGAGAAAATATTAAAAGGATGCTTACTGCCAAGGACCTCTGTAGTGATGCTTGCCACTCTTAACGAAGCATGCTTGTCTCCAACTTTCTCAACATGCTCTGAGTCAGTTACAATCACATGTGTGTACAGCTGATTTGACAGCCTTGTGTGGCAAAAACATCACAATATGATTATGTTCATGATTTATCCATGAGTCCAAGAAATAAGCATTAATTTTATTCATAGTTGCTGCCTTAATTTTCTGTGCAAATTATTTTTGGCAGATGAATCCCCTAGCTAATATTCCAAGGGGTTTTACCCAGCCTGACATCTACGGCCCACCTGGGGCTCAGAATCTGCCGCAAGCCATGGCAAATCTGGCCTTGTCAGGACGACCTTCAAGAACGCCCACACAGGCCAATGCATTCTTTACTCTGCAGCATCATCAGCAGCCGAAGCAGTGGCAGAAGAACCAACAGCAGCAGCTGAAACAACAGCAGCAACAGCACCTGCTGCAACAGCAAAATCAGCAACAAGTGGAACAGCTGCTGCAACAGGAACTGAAACTGCGACAGCAGAAGCAACTGCAGCAGCAGCTTGACAGCAACAGCAGCTAGACCAGCGACGGCAGCTAGAGCAGCATCAGTGGCCAGAGCAGCAACAGCAGAAGCAGCAGGAACTGGGACAGCAGCAGCTGCAGCAGGAACTGAAACAGCGACAGGAGAAGCTACTACAACAGCAGCTTGAACAGCAGAAGCAGATAGAGCAGCAAAAGAAGATAGAGCAGCAAAAAAAGATAGAGCTGCAAAAGAAAATAGAGCAGCAAAAGCAGACCGAGCAGCAAAATAATATAGAGCAGCAGCAGCACTTAGAGCAGCAAAAGAAGATAGAGCAGCAAAAGAAAATAGAGCAGCAAAAGAAGATAGAGCAGCAAAAGAAGATAGAGCAGCAAAAGAAGATAGAGCAGCAAAAGAAGATAGAGCAGCAAAAGAAGATAGAGCAGCAAAAGAAGATAGAGCAGCAAAAGAAGATAGAGCAGCAGAAGAAGATAGAGCAGCAAAAGAA